TATCGAATTGCGCAGCCATTTCGGTGAGGGCGAGGTGACGATAATGCGAGGGTGGTGGTGAGGTAGATGGGGTGACGGCGGCCCGAGGTTATATGATATATCGTGGAGTAGAAGCGCCTTGTGGCTTGACTTATAGTGTCCTTCTGACCAAAGGGCGCCGCTAGACTCGGACTATTTAGTTTCAGTGAAATAGAGACGGGAGCAACCTGTAACTCAACGTCAGCGCGGGAAGACGGCGGATAGAACCACGACGACAGTTACCAGTCCACCTCGTATGCATATATGAGACCGAGTAAGCAACTTGATGGCGGCGCGCGCCGTTTAGGCCTTTTAGCCAGATTCGCTGGTGCCTATTGCGAAGCGTAAAAGCGTTTAGTCAAGGACCAGTTATTTAAATGGAATTCGGCGATTCGGGAGGGGAGCGGTGTTCCGCACAAAGTCCAGCTGGCCAGCAGACAAATAGTAGTGTACTTGTATTATAGTACCTGTATCCGGCAGACTGCACTACGAGAACCCGTAGCCGAAGTTCTTGGTCAACGACGAGCCAAGGAACGCGTCAATAGGTGTCAGACGACGAGGAACGCATGTCAAGCGATCAGAGACGGAGCCAGCTGGGTAAGCTCGAGGTCACGGAGAGGGGCCAAGCTTATGACTCTGATTGGATGGATGGTCGCTTGGAAAAGTCATGCCGACGAGGACAAGCTCGAGATTTCAAGCAATTCGAGCAATTCAAGATATTCAATCCAGACTGAGAGGAACCGAAACTGGACGACGAGCTCCGGGCGAGCAACGTCAGGATGAAGGAAGAGAACAGAGGTATATTTTAGGTGGCTGTGCATAGGTGTAGACCTACACCTTCTACTAAGCAATTGACACCGAAAGAAATACTTACCTGCGCTCAGAATTTCGCATCGTATGGTCCGAGGTAGATAAATAGAGTTACATTCATATGTAAAGAAAAGAAAAGAAGATGGCATACATTTCGAGTCACTAAGTAAATAGTCAAAGAAACCGATTCAGAAGAGCACGACGTATAAGTAAATCGTGCCCCGGTCAGTCCAGGACGGGCCTGTATACTATATAGCTGTAGCCGGAGTAGGACGAGGGGATGGGAGGTGGAGTAGTGCATAGAAAGGGGTGGGGTGGGGGGGAGGAGGAAAGTGAGAGAGTCTTGAAAGTTGATTGGATACCGATACCAAAGAAGTCTTAGATAGACAAAGACACAATCCAATCCACGCCAGGAGCACAGTCCGCCTATGTATCCTGCGATATCCTGCAATCGATCCGTCATCGAATCACCCCACCTCCTCACCAAACGAAGGGTAGAAAGAGCAAGTCCTGGCTCCTACTGTATCCCCGAGTCACTCGTTGTCATCGTCCATCGTCCATCGACCAGTGATAGTAATGTCATCGTCGGCGACGCCCGTGCCCAGCGACCCGCAAGGCGTGTGCAGCGCCGCACGTATTTCACGTTTACGTTTGTTCGTCTTTGTCTATCAAATGTCAAATCGTCAGTAAGAGTTTCAATGCGCCAACGAAGGACTCACAATAGCTTCAAGGCCACGATGGCAGCTCAACTCAAACCCCAGCAGCAACATCCAACCTCTCCCCGCGCGCCAAAACGCGAATCACCCGCGGCCCCCCGCTGCCAGTGCCCTCCATCGCTAGCGCCGCCGCGGGGCGTTCCACGAGGGATCCCCCTCCTCCACCTCCGCCTCCGCTTCCCCCGCCTCCGAGCTTGTACATGCCGTTGTTGTTGTTATTGCTATTGCTGTTATTGCCACTGCTATTCGCACCGCCATACCCACCGGCACCGGCACTCCCACCGCGCTTGCCCTGCTGCGGGTTGGTATTCGCGCGCGGACGACGAGCGCCTTCGCTCGTCCCTGGACGCCGTGCGCCTTCGCCCGTCGTCCCAGGGCGTCGTCCTTCGCCCGCCCCCGTCCCACCCTGAGTAGAAGTGGTATTACTACTACCAGCCGCAGCTTGAGCGGGGTTGCCGTTCACGTGCACAGACGGCGCAACGGGAAGCACCGTGAGCCCCGCGCGCGCGGCCCAGTGCGCGACGAGCGTGCCCGAGGCGCGGACTTCGTGTTTGTTGGGGATTTCCGCTGAGTCAGGATTTGAAGGGGTGGGGGTGGTGGCGAGAACGGCGATGCAGACTGTGCGTGGTGGGGGCGGTGTGTCGGTGGAACCAGCTTTGGAGTTGGAGGGGGAGGGGGATGCAAGGGCGGAGTTGAGCTCCCAGCGGGCACAGCACACGGTGCGGCGGACCCATTCGGGGTCGTCTGCTGGGGGATCGGCAGCGGGGATTGCGTTGGAAGTGGGACTCGAATTCCCGGTGCTGCTTTGAGCGAAGGCGATGGCATCCCAAGGCACGAACGCGTCGTCTCTCTGCACCCGGATGCGCAGATTAGTGCCGACCTGCGCTTCGAGGATACGGGACGCAGCACGGGCCCGTTGCGCGAGGGGAGACGTGCCTTTCTTGAGGAGGTCGAGGGTGTTGAGTGCTAGATAGAAAATGTCAGTTACGATGTTGCGAGAATATGAGCGAGCGGCGATTGGCGCGTATGGCTCGTGAAGGCTGCTGGTACGCTCGAGAAAACACCCCTACAACTCAGACGGTACACCGTCGTTCTCTGTGCTCGAGGGTGGTCCCGCCTTGCCACCGGGTCGCGGAGAACAGTTTGCGGTAGCCACCGGTGGCTAGATTTCATCGAGACTGCATGACCGTCCCAGAAAATATTAGCCACCATTTGTACATCCCACCGATGGGATTAAATGGTGGCTACTTCGGGCCAGAGGCTCGATAAACCATCGCGCACGAGGAGCCGCCAGTTCGTCCGGTGCCTCACCGCAAACTCTCTATAGATTGAGTATTCAAGACACACCTTCAAGTGGCACAATCACGACCTCCTCGCGACCGTCCCGACACCACCGCTTGACCTGATGCAACGCGTGAACAAGCACACTCGCGTCGACGATAACGACGTCGGCGTCCCTCTCGGCGTTGGGTTCCTCCACAGAGCGCCTTTGCGTCGATGCAGTATCTTTCGTCGAGATAACAAACGTAGACGTATTCCCGCCGCCGTTCTTCTTCCCGCGTAGAGACGATTTGTTGTTAGAGTATGGCTGACGTTTCGGGGATGATTGTGGGCTCGCGGGAGGGCCTCTGCTTCGCCAGTTTCCGGAAGCAGCGGACTTTTCGAGTTGCTCGACTTGATGATTCAGGAATGCGGCTCCTAGAGCGCGAGACATGGCCTTTGCAGCGGGTGAGTCCGATTTGACGTAGCATGTACAAGAAACAAACCTTCTTGTCTGTCATGGTGTCCGTTATGTAGTGCTGTGGGCCCACTGAGATATCCGGCCTAGATTGGTTGGATGGAGACTGGAGGGTTTCCTGGTTGTCGATAAGGATAGCGTGGCACGAGATATCCAAGAATTGATGTTCAAAATCAAGAATTCGAGTGAGGAGTCGGCAGGCGCACAAATGCAGGTGGTGAGCTGCGCATTTCCTTTTTGGGCTTGATATTTGTTGTTGATGTTTGTTGAATTTTCCCGGTGCAGATGATGCATCATGAGTCGATGCTCGCACTGCTTCCCGCTCCCGTTTTCATCCCGAACCACCTCATTATGACCTGCACTGGTCCCAGAAGTACGTTGGGCGGAAATAGTACGCTGGTTGAAACTGCTAAGGGCGAGTTTCGAGCAAATTTTGAGTCGACTGCAGTCGATTTATCGAAAAAAGAAAAATACCTCACGCTTGTTTTTTTATTACAGACATTTTACTCATTGCGCGGACTCCTATGCTCATCCCTCTGCAAAACCTAAAAGGTTATTATTTTTTATGGGCCTGCTGGGCTGACCCACCGTCCCTAGCCGGTGTGCCGCCTTCTCCAGCCCGCACCCCTTGCAGTAGTCCTCAAGACAATACCAGTGCAATGACGGCGATTACTTCTTGCAATCTGGATTGTCTTGTGGATCAAGTAAACTCCTACATGCTAACTTCGTAACGAACTGGGGAATAACACTGTCCCCGCAAGGAGTTCGGCGTCAGCCGTCTAAGTATCTTGAATTTCATTTTGCCTGGTCTCCAAGTCATGCTACAAGGTTCCCCGCAAGCTAAGCATATCCTGGCATATCCTTCTAACAGCCTTCTGTAGCAATTGTGGAGATCGCAAAAAATTGCCAACTCCAGGGTCGACTTCAATGCTGGAGGAAAATGCGCCATCCTTCAAGAGCGAGGTTTTCATCCAACCTGTTGCAACCCAACATATCCCATCCGGCAACCATCCGGCGTAAGTCCAAGAGCGTCCCGCGTCTCATTTTTTTCTGAATTTGTCTGATAACCACCAGCTCAAATTCAACTCGATTGGACAACCCGGGGTCCCGCCATTCACGGGTTGAGCTGGACTGCGGGTACTCATCTTGAGCGACGGTGAGAGCGTAATTGACCAGGATATTTCAGCGGCCTCACAGGTTACATCCGTCGTAATCTGTTCTTCGCCGCACAACACCGTCCTGACTCCTTTTGGATGCAGGAATTTGCTGGCTCGCGCATGCCCAAGCTTTGGCTCAGATCACCGCTAGGTTGTTGACCCTGCCTCAGCTCTACTCTCCAATTCATGGCGACCTCCAGGAACCAATGTTCTAATTAGTGTCTGGCCGCAATTTTTCTGTCCGAGTCTTGCCAGGTTAAATTGGATCAACTTTGCTGGTCCAGGCACTGGCTTGAGATTATGATAAACCATTCAGGCTGAACCATGGAATAGAAAAATTGGCCGCCCCGTCCAATCGGCCTTCCAAAGAAGATTGTTGAGTGATTGAGGCCCTCCCGGATCCTGCCATACTATAGCGCATTTAAAACTAGAGACGGATAACTCCGGCGTGGTGTAATGGTTAACATCGCTGTCTTTTCACTCCTGACACGATAAAGTAACTGGGCAGGCCAAGATTTGGGTCAATATTTTTGTGATAAAGTGGTTCAGGGAGAGAAAAAATTCCGGCGCGGGGAATCGAACCCCGAGCTGCTGTGATCAACGCCTGAAAGACAGCGATGTTGAACCATTACACCACGCCGGGTCAACATCGCTGTCTTTTCACTCCTGACACGATAAAGTAACTGGGCAGGCCAAGATTTGGGTCAATATTTTTGTGATAAAGTGGTTCAGGGAGAGAAAAAAATCCGGCGCGGGGAATCGAACCCCGAGCTGCTGTGATCAACGCCTGAAAGACAGCGATGTTGAACCATTACACCACGCCGGACTTGGAGGCTGCTTCTCTTGGTCTCCTACCAGGCCACTCTGCTACCGCCCCCAACTCTTCCAAGGAAAATCCTGGGAAGCGTTGCGATCTCTCAAGCCTCGCCATCAAGTTCCACAAACTTCATCGAAGTTTCATCACTTAGCCTACACTCCCACTCCCTCCACTCAGGCTAACTCCGACCACTTCTCTTCTGTGCATTTCAAGTCAGCTATCCCGTGGCAGCCCGCTAGAACGACTTAAAAAGCGAGTTCAGTCTCCGGCGTCCGCCCATTCGAGCAAGCATTCAAGTCACCTCCCTCCAGCGGTCCCTCGACTCTCAATCACTTTCGGCTCCTCTGAGCGTTTCGTATTACTCGCTACCTACGACGACAAAGGCTCGATCAGTCTCCGCCGCCCGCTGGCCATTCAGTTTAATCCATTTGATTTTTTTGCGCTTTCACTCGATTAAATTCATGCACACGTGTCGCGGACAACCATGGGCTGTTGATGAGCTGTGCACTACTCAACCTCTCGAAGCGATCGGCAACCAAGATTAAATCGGCACCGCCTCACCGACTTGATAGGTCGGCGTCGGGCGAACTGTCAATCGACTCTTATATTTTTCGCCAACTCGACGAGTTGGTAGTCTCTCCTAGACAGACGCTCTATGTATTTGAGCTCGGTGCCCTCGCTACATAGAGTCTGTTGTTTACCGCGGGGGTCCGATCGTGTACTGATTGTATTATATAATATCATGTAAGCCGGCAACTTCCGCACTTCGTTCTAGCGGTTCTCTCCTACCAATACAGACATAGTTCCAAGGTACTATACTCCTATTAAGATCCAAACAATGTTCTAAAACACTTAGTGGAATATCTACAGTACGGTTTGAAGAAAAACAGGTTCCCAGTGTGTTCTCGTGAGGTCGGATCTGCGTCGGCCGAAAGCCTCAGACCGAAATCCTGCGTATTGTGCGCAAGGCATCGTAAGAGGCTTTTCAAAATTCTGAGGGGACAGAATCATAGTTAAACTCATTCAAAGTGAGTCTCCTACAGAAGCCATTCAGAAATCGCGTTTTTGAGGTGGGATTTACGCGACTCGAAGTCTGCTTACATGATATTACCTAATACAGCAGGTACACGATCCGACCCCCGCGGTAAACACAAGACTAACGAGTTGGTGAACGTAGAATCAAACTCAAACTGGAAATTTTTCTGCTGTTCAACGTTCAACGGTGGGTTCAACTGCTTGAAAAGAAGAAGTTTACATACTAACGAACACATGACAGTCTTTTAAAAGACAACGGTTCGAAAGGTGAGCTCGAGATCAATCACGATCGTGTCCATGAATCTAATTCGCGCGTCAGCCATGTTTTCTTCGTTCAGATCTGAAATATCGTCGCAAGAACGGGAAACAGCAAGCAGCCCATGACCAAAATTCAACGTTAACCTTTTCACCGAGCCTGACATGTCTATTTGTTTGAGTAAATTCATGATTCCTCTTCCAGGCTACATTTTAGGCTGATATAATTGGAAACCCATACAACATGGCAATGTCACACGCTGCGCTACCTGGCACCAGAAACACACTCCTCCCGAAAAAACCCCAAGTCGAGCTCAAATTCGAACCTCGCCCTTTCAGCAATGAAACAGTTCTTCGGTTGAAAAAAGGTGGCTCAAAAAAAGTCTCGGACTTCGTTGAATTTTGGCAATTAAAATTTTCTTGTAGTAGAGTCGCCGAGAAATACCAAGTTGAGGAACTTGAAGTAGGTACTGTAAAATTTAGCCCTTGTAACTGTAAGCGATGCGAAAGAAAATACTTAATACACTGTGCCAGACATCGGCCCTTGATTTCCAGTATCAATTCGAACGTTGCCAAGTTTTTCTTTCTTTCTTTCACTTGAACCACGTCTCACTCTTGGACTCGCCACTGGACCGTGATTTGTCCACGGGATTTAGCGACACACGCTCGGCCACAGCAGCTCGGGGTTCGATTCCCCGCGCCGGAAGTACCGTGTTTTTTTGGTGCCTTTAATGGCGAACACACATTTTTGATCTTCAAGCTTCCCCACATGCCCATTGGTTGAACTTGCAACAAGATTTGACTCGGACGCATACGTAGAATGAATGACAAGATTGGAGAGCGTTGAAGGGTTCGTTTGCAACCTGTCGGTTAATGTTGAATTGATCCAAGTCTAAGGACATTGAATCTGCCCCTCTTGATCCCGTACCTGTACGGTGGCAGATGAGCGGAATTGTCTTCCCACAAAACCTTGGGTCACATAGCTTGGGGGAAGGAGAAGAACGTACACCCCTCGTCGTGAAGAGGCTGAGCTTCGTCGAGTTCCCCATGACTTCAATTCTGGGAGCGGGGCATAAGTGTAGTACCAGGACCGCGACCGTGACGACTGCGCAGACCAGCGAAGACGCGAATATGCCTGCGTTCTACGAGTTATACAACTTGAATGGCAATAAACAACGAAAAAAGCTCTTATACTCGGACACATTCGCGCACAAAGGACCGTGATCGCCTTGGCATCATCAACTTGAGGTGTAATCGACGCAGACCCCGATCTCTTAGCCTCGAAAAGACGCCCCAATCGCTCCGACCAGAGCTCGTGGACAGCGTTGCCTGGAAGATATCGGCTACAGAGTTATTCCAGTTAATGATTAGCTTTAATGTTAGGGTCCTCCAAGGGCCGGGAAGGCAAATCGACGCCTAGAGTCATCGCTTGTCGAGGTCAACTCGCAGGCTGAGTAGAGCGGTCCCGGGTGAGAAGGAAGAGAACAAATATTTGATTCCCTTTTTCGGACGATTCTATTTACCTGTTCGGATACGACGAGGCTGCTCAGCGGCTAGGGACAGAAATTCATGATGCAGTCGATGATTGTATATACGCATTCCAAAATGAGGGTATAGCTATGTACGATGGATACAGCAATTTGAATATTATCGATAAATACAGTAAACTAAAAGTCCTCAGCCATAGCTAAAAATGGCTCCGAACATCTCCTTCCATCCACGCTTGATAACGACCGTCGCACCCCCACTATATTCAGACGCAAACCACTCTAGGTACCGCGCGTCCATGCCGCTCATTGGCCCCAGCTCAAACGCCGACATGTCCTTCGAGGTGAGCGTGAGTGTGTTCTTGTCCTTCGATAGAAACGACTCCAAAGTCGACAACTGGAAGGATGTGTGTGCGTGCAGGGTCTGCAGCAGCGACAGCGTCGTCAGGATCTGGCCATCCCGTCGTGAGGTGTCGTACGCCCCCTGCTCGTCGCCCTCATCGTCATCAGCTGCACTCAGCTTCGCAGCTTTCCCCTTAAACTTGGTGCTGCTCGACGTCGGCGACGTCACAGTCGCCTTCCCGCTCGACCACGACATCGCACTCGCCCGCCTCGTCGACTTTGTCGTCGTCGGGGGCCGCGTGATCCCACTACCGCTGCCGCTCGCACCGACCTGCGGCCCGCCCTCGATACCCATCCCCACCGTGCGCACATACCCGTCCGAGCTGTCTGCCGCCGCCGCAAGGGCACGTAGACTCAGATCCTCATCGCCCTCGAGACGGATACTGCCCCAATTTGACTCCCCGTCAGCGGTGGAATACGACATGATCGAGTTGCCTCGCCACGAGCCCATCCACAGTCCGGCGCAGATGACGCAGACGTCTTCGTACACACGCCAAGCATCCGTCCAGGCTGTGATGGGATTGGTTTTGGAGGGCTTGGAATCGGGAGAGAGGGAGCCAGGGGAGCAGCATGAGTGGTCGTGGGCGGAGGAATCCAACTGCAAGATGCGATTGATTTCATTCCACTGTGGAGCATTAGAACAAATGAGAAGATGGGTTACAGAACGACGTACCAGCTTGATGTCGCTCCACGAGAAACGCACGACAGAGAGGCGGTGTGTGGGTCCTCGAGATGGTCCCGGCGACGAAGGCTGTATTGGGCGGGACGCATAAAATGTCGGCCGTGTGGCTTTGTTCGGAGTGGAGGTCGTGAGGTCAATTAGTATGTCGTAATATGATGGCTTTTCAAGGAAAAGAGCGTCGGTAGTGCCTGATGCAAGGTCAAGCAGGCGCAGGATACAGTCTCAAACAACGTACATGCTACCCAGCCGCGTCCACTGTCGCTGTCCCTCTGTAGCCGGTCCAAGTCGTTAAGAGTCACCATTCCGAGAACGTTGATCCCCTCCTTGCATTTGCCGCGCAAGCGGGGGGAGGACGAATTTGAAGAAGTGGTGTATTCCACCTGATGCTCATATGCCATATCCGCCGCCACCTGGCAGAGGATACAGGCAGCTTCCACCGGCGGTAGAGTGTAGATTAGAATTCGTCGTCTAGCGACAACGTGTTTATACAGAGTCAGGGAGGACGGGCCGAGGATGCGTAGTAGATGTGGCAGGTGTACCGTCGGATTCTGGTCGGGTGCACCGTCATCGAGCTGCTGCGGATTAACTCGACGTAGCAGTGACAAGAACAGCCACGTACCTGCGCCAAAAGCTCATGACTCCATCCATTCCAGTCCCCCGCCCCTCCAAGATCAGCCCGGGTGACCTTCCGCTCGTTGAAGAAGGTGCGCGCTGGCTCCCAGTCGGTGTCCAAAGGTATCAAGGACGCGGAGCTCTCAAACCGAGAATAGATTAGCGTAGTGAGCTCCTTCAGTGCCGCAGTGTGTCTCCAAGGCCGAGGCCGAGCTGATTTGGCCAAGAGGATGCCGAGGGACGACAAGCGGAAGCCGCGATGACCTTGGTCGACAGTCTTCCGGCGACGAAATACACACACACCATGCTGACCGTCCTTCGTGAAGTACCTATAGCAATATCAGCGGCTGGGT